GAATTAAGTGTAAATATCTGCCGAGTGAACGTGGTTTTAAACATTATATACCGTTTTTTTTTGTTTGGCTTGCCGTACTCGGACCTTCTGTTGCTTCTTTCCTAAACGTTTTCACCCACCTGGTGTAAAACAAACAGGCAGGTCTTTAATCTGACATTTTTAGTTTTCACAATAAAAGCTGTCCTTGATGACGAGGATGATGAAGGCCTAGTCTGTGACGTCTGCACCGTTAAAACACCGAGCTGCAGCTCTCTGACTACATTTAACTTTGAAGTTTACCTAATTGTTTTAATCTAAATGTGCTTTGATTTTCTAAATCAGTGCACATGAATCTGTCTCTCTGTATTTTTAGAGCCTGTGACCAAAATCAAAGCGCTTTTCTTCAGCCTCTAATTAGGAGAGGAGCTGCAGCCGTGTGTGGGCTCGTGTGTACGTGTCGGCTCGTGTGTGCGTGTCGGCTCGTGTGTGCGTGTCGGCTCGTGTGTGTGAGCACAGGAAGTGTGTTTTCAGCTCTGAAAGCTCTGCTCTTGTTTTCGTCTGGCAGGTGTCGCTCCGCCAGGTGAAGATGCCGATCATCCAGGGGTCTTCAAGAGGTTCAGCGCCCTGCTGCCCTCCTTCCGCAAAGGCAAACGAGACAGTGAGTCTCACCTGTAGTCAGGTGGTGTGTGTGTTTGGTTTTCTGTGGAAACAGGTGGTTTTCATTTCACTGCAGCGGTTTCTGTTCTTACATTTCCTACCTTGTTTTGTTGCCTCGCTACAGGAAGTAAAAGTAAACCCCCTCTCTGACTCAAGGTTTGAGATTGACTCTGTGGAATGGAATGTGGCGATAAAAGCTGAACGTCTTCCACAGAAACAGGAAGACGTTACATAAAAGTAAATCTGTGGAGCTTTAAACTAACTAAACTCTGAAAATGTTTTATTCTGTCCTTAAGGAGACTCTGTGGAAACCAGCAGCTCTAATCTGAAAGTTTGTTGCCCTCGTTCTACAGCACTCAGAAGCTAATTCTAAAATGCTAACTTGACTCAGAGGTCACCAGAGTGTAGTCCAGTATTACTCCTCTCTTGAGTAATACTGTCAGCTGGAAGCACGTCGCTTTACTTTACACAGTGTTGTATAAAGTACCACAAAGTGATACTTGAGTAAAAGTACAAGTATCTTACAAAAAAAAAGGACTTTGGTAAAAATAAAGTCTCCTTTAGGAATATTACTTGAGTAAAAGTGTTAAAGTATGTGATATTTGTTGTAGTTAAGTAGTAAAAGTGTTAAAGTATGTGATATTTGTTGTAGAAGTATTAAAAGTCAAAGTGTAGATTTAAAATGAGCAGTTAGATTTTCTGTAAGGACATTTATTAGGAGGTGACCTCCCCAAAAACTGCAGAAATGACTGTTGTATTAAAATAAAGTATGTGATATTTGTTGTAGTTAAGTATTAAAAGTGTTAAAG